GCAAGTGAAATGTACCCGAAAGCAACTCCATTTCCATTCAGTTCCATCATCTTTGGTGATTTTCATCGGCTTCACGCCCCAATAACTAACGATTAGTTGCTCTCCTTTGTTACCTTGATCAGCCTCGCCACGCATCGAGCCTTTCTCCGATTGATTCTCCGCATTTTCCTTCTTCTTCTTCTCAAATGTCATCTTGCTGAAATCTCTCACGCCTCCGATCATCATCTCCGGAACCCTAACATTTGCCGCTACGAGAGCAACCCTAGGCTGATTCAGAAGATGGAACTTCATCATTGTTCAGATTGAATATATGAAACAATGGAAATCGATTAATCTAAGCAGAGAAACTAATCCATTTTTTTCGAGAAATGTGTTTTTGCTTTATGCCATTTTATAACTTCTCAACTGTTATCTAATTATAGCAACTAAGTACGGAAGTGTAGCATCATTATATACAAAAACGAAAAAATCGTCTACGATTTGACTAAAAGACTTGTAGCACACGAAATTAAGACATTTACAAACAAATCCGCAACTTTTTTTTTGCTCTTCAACTTATCCTGTGCTCGTTCAAATTATTATTTACCTTTATGCGCAAAAACCATTGCTTGCATAATCTTGAACTTATTCAACTTGAAAATATGTTGAAACATGGAAATCAATATTGTTTTTCAAATTATTCTGTGCCTTGCCACTGTAGCTGCTTAGCCAGCCTTCTCAAAAGCAGCAATGAGAAATTTGTGACAATCCTATATATATTTTTACTACACTACAACATACATAAATATAAAAACATAATATTTAATAAATCGAAACATGTAAAAAGCTTGCTGCGTAGTGCAGGTACACCCCGTATGAAATGATGATGAGATAACTTTGAAATGTTATGTTTGATTACATAGCTACATATTTTATATATAACATGACTCCTTGTATCCGGTGGTAACTACTCTACTTGAGTCACCGAAACCTTCCTAAGTAACCCAATTATTGCCGAGTCGGGTCAAAACAATTCTCAGTACGATTTCTTATCATCGTTTGAGCCAAACCCACCAAAACCACTCCTTCCACTTGACTGAGAAGAACGACCGGAACCAAAGTCCCCGAAACTAGAGGAACGGTCTGACCCACCAGAATAACGGTTGCTTGATGATCCGCCTGACCGGCCACTGCTGCTACCATAATCACCTGAACGACCACCAAAGCTGCCCCTTCCACTAGACTGAGAAGAACGATCTGAACCAAATCCCCCAAAACCTCCTGAAGAACGGTCTGAACCGCCTGAACCAAAGCCCCCGTAACCAGAAGAGCGGTCTGAACCGAAGCTACCAAAACCAGAACGGTCCGAACCACCAGAATAACGGTTGCTTGATCCGCCTGAGCG